ACAAAAGTTGTAACAGCGACAATAGTGACAACGGTGGCAACAGTGACAACAGTGACAACAGTGACAACGGTAACAACACTGACAACGGGGACAACGGTGACAACGGTAACAACAGTGACAACAGTAGCAACAGTGACAACGGTGACAGTGGTGACAACAATTACAACAGTGACAACAGTGGCAACAGTGTGAATAGTGAGTACGGTGACAACAGTGACAACAGTGACAATGGTGTTACTTTGGTGTTGTTGTTACTTTATTCACTGTTCTCACCGTTGTCACTGTTGTCAGTGTTGTCACAGTTGTCACTGTTGCCCCAGTTGACACTATTGTCACCGTTGTCACCATTGTCACCGTTGTCACCGTTTTCACTGTTATCACAGTTGTCACTGTTCTTACTGTTGACACCGTTGTCACCTTTGTCACCATTGTTATTCTTTTCACCGTTGTCAATGTCATTACCGTTGTAACTGTTGTTACCGTTAGCACCGTTGTCACTGTTGTCACTGTTCTCACTGTTTTTACCGTTGTCAATGTTGTCACCGTTGTTACTGTAGTCACCAATGTCAATGTTGTTACCGTTGACACTGTTGTCTCTTTTTCACCGTTGTCACCGTTGTCACTGTCGTCACTGTGGTCACTGTTGTCACCATTGTAACCGTTGACACCTTTGTCACAATTGTCACTGACACCAAGACATCAGTGACAACTGTGACAACAGTGACAACGGTGACAACAGTTGCAACGGTGACAACCGGGACAAAAGTGACAACAGTGACAACTGGAGAACAGTGACAACGGTGACAATGGTGACAACAGTGACAACAGTGAGAACGGTTGCAACAGTGACAATAGTGACAACAGTGACAACAGTGAAAACGGTGACAACAATGACAACTATGACAAAAGTGACAACGGTGACAATGGTGACAACAGTGACAACAGTGACAACAGTGACAACAAGTGCAAGAGTGACAATAGTGACAAAGTTGTCAACGGTTACAATGGTGACAACTGTGACAACAGTGACAACCGTGGTAACGGTGAAAACGAGACAACATTGACAACTTAAAAACAGTGACAACAGTAACAACAGTGACAACGGTGCTAATGGTAACAACAGTTACAATGGTAATGACATTGACAACGGTGAGAAGAGTAACAATGGTGACAACGGTGACGACGCTGACAACGTTGAAAATGGTGACAACGGAGACAATGGTGTCAACAGTGACAACAGTGAGAACTGTGACAACAGTGAAAACGGTGACAACGGTGACGACGGTGTCAGCAGTGACAACAGTGATAACTGTTACAACAGTGAAAACGGTAACAACGGTGACAACGGTGACAACCGTGACAATAGTGACAACTGTGACAACAGTGAAAACGGTGACAATAGTGACAACAGTGACAACACTAACAACAGTGAAAATGGTGACGACAGTGACAACTGTGACAACAGTGACAACAGTGACAATAGTGACAACACTGACAACAGTGAGAAAAGTGACAACGGTGTCAACACCAACAACCGTGACAACGGTAAAAACAGTGAAAAACGGTGACAACAGTGACCACCCCGACAAAACTGAAAACACTGACAACGCTGACAACAGTGACAACTGTGACAACAGTGACAACTGCAAAAACAGTGACAACAGTGAAAATGGTGACAACAACGACAACAGTGACAACGGTGACAACAGTGACAACAGTAACAACAGTGACATCAGTGACACCAGTGACAATGGTGATAACAATGACAACAGTGACAAGGCGACAATGGTGCTACAATAACAACACAACAACGGTCCAACAGTGACAACGGTGACAAAGGTGAAAAGAGTGAAACGGTGACAACGATGCAACAATGACAACGGTGACAATGGTTACAACGGTGACAACAGGGACAACAGTGAGAACGGTGACAACAGTGACAATATTGACATCAGTGACAACTGTGACAACAGTGACAACGGTGACAACGGAGTAGACGGTGACAACACTGACAACAGTGACAACAGAGACAACAGAGACAACAGTGACAACTGTGACACCGGTGAAAATGGTGTCAACAGTAACAACAGTGACAACTGTGACAACAGTGGCAACGGTGACAACAGTGAAAACGGTAACAACCGTGAGACCAGGGACAACAATGACAGTAGAGTGAACGGTGACAACGGTGTCAACGGTGACAACAGAAACACCGGGGACACCGGTTGGAACAGTGACAACACTGACAACAGGAACAAGTGACAACATTGACAACATTGACAACAGTGAGATCAGTGACAATGGTGACCACGGTGACAACGGTGACAACAGTGACAACGGTGACGACGTTGACAACAGTGACAAAGGTGACAACAGTGACAACAATGACAACGGTTACAACGGTGACAACGGTGACATCAGTGACAACACTGAAAAAGGTGACAATGGTGACAACGATAAAAACACTGACAACAGTAACAACAGTGACAACAGTGACATTCTTGACAACAGTGACAACAAAGACAACAGTGGGAACAGTGACAATTGTGACAACGGTGATAACAGTGACAAGAGTGACAACAGTGACAGCAGTGACAACTGGACAACAATGACAACGGTGACAATGGTGACAACAGTGACAACAGTGACAACAGTTGCAACAGTGACAATAGTGACAACTGTGACAACAGCGAAAACGGTGACAACAGTGACAACTGTGACAAAACTGACAACGGTGACAATGGTGACAACAGTGACAACAGTGACAACAAGTGCAAGAGTGACAATAGTGACAAAGGTGTCAACGGTTACGGTGGTGACAACCGTGACAACTGTAACAACAGTGACAACAGTGACAACGGTGACAACGGTGAAAACGAGACAACAGTGTCAACGGTAACAACATTGACATCAGTGACAACAGTAACAACGGTGACAACAGTGACAACATTGACAACGGTAAAAACAGTGACAACAGTGACAACTGTGCTAATGGTAATAACAGTTACAATTGTAATGACATTGACAACGGTGAGAAGAGTAACAATGGTGACAACGATGACGGCCCTGACAACGTTGACAATGGTGACAACAGAGACAATGATGTCAACAGTGACAACAGTGAGAACTGTTACAACAGTGAAAACGGTAACAACAGTGAAAACGGTGACGACAGTGACAACTGTCACAACAGTGACAACAGTGACAATAGTGACAACACTGACAACAGTGACAAAAGTGACAACGGTGTCAACAGTGAGAACGGCGACAACAGTGACGACAGTGAACACCAACAACGGTGACAACGGTGAAAACAGTAAAAAACCGTGACAACAGTGACCACCCCGACAACACTGAAAACACTGACAACGCTGACAATAGTGACAACTGTGACAACAGTGACAACTGTAAAAACAGTGACAACAGTGAAAATGGTGACAACAATGACAACAGTGACAACCGTGACAACAGTGACAACAGTGACAGCAGTGACATCAGTGACACCAGTGACAATTTTGATAACAATGACAACAGTGACAACAGCGACAATGGTGCTACAATGACAACACAACAACTGTCCAACAGTGACAACGGTGAACCGGTGAAAAGAGTGAAACGGTGACAACGATGCAACAATGACAACAGTGATAACTGTGACAACAGTGACAACGGTGATAACAGTGACAACGGTGACAACGGTGACAACAGTGACATTTGTGACAACGTTGACAACAGTGACAATAGTGACAACGGTGAAAACGGTGACAACGGTGACAAAGGTGATGATAGTGACAATAGTGACAATGGTGACAAACGTGAAACTTGTGAAAACACCGACACAGTGACACGGTGACAACGGTGAATTCAGTGACAACGGTGACAACAGTGACAACGGTGACAGCAGTGACAATGATGACGACAGCGACAACAGTGACAATGGTGACAACAATGAAACTGGTGACAACACTGACAACGGTGATAACGGTGACAACAGTGACAACTGTAACTCCTGAACAACGGTGACAACAGTGACAATGGTGACGACAGTGACAACAGTGACAACGGTGACAACAGTGAAATTGGTGACAACACTGACAACGGTGAAAACGGTGACAACTGTAACAACAGGGACAACAGTGACAAGAGTAAAAACAGTGACAATGGTTACAACACTGACATCAACGACAACACCAACGACACTGATAACGGTGACAACAGTAACAACAGTGACAAGAGTGACAACATGAAAACTTGTGATGACACTGTGAACGGTGACAACGGTGACAACATTAACAACAGGGACAACAGTGACAAGAGTAAAAACAGTGACAATGGTTACAACACTGACATCACCGATAACACAAACAACACTGACAACCGTGACAACAGTAACAACAGTGATTACCGTGACAACAGTGACAACGGTGACAACAGTGAGAAAAGTGACAACACTGACAACGGTGACAAGGGTGAAAACAGTCAAAAAAGGTGACAACAGTGACAACCCAGACAACACTGAAAACACTGACAACGCTGACAATAGTGAAGACCGTGAGAACAGTGACAACAGTGACAATGGTGAAAACAAAGACAACAGTGACAACGGTGACAACAGTGGCAACGCTGAAAACAGTGACACCAGTGACAATGGTGTCAACAGTGACAACAGTGATAGCAGCGACAATGGTACTTCAATCACAACTGCGACAACGCTCCAACAGTGACAACGGTGACACCGGTGAAAAGAGTGAAAACGGTGACAATGATGCAAGGGTGACAATGGTGACAACGGTCACAACGATGACAACAGTAACAATGGTGAGAACAGTGATAACAGTAAAAACACCAACAACGGTGAATACAGCAAAAACGGTAACAACAGAGACAACAGTGACGACAGTGACAAAAGTGATAACAGTGACAGCAGTAAAAACACCGACAATGGCGATAATGGTGACAAAAGTGACAACTGTGACAACGGTGACAACAGTGACAACAGTGACAATAGTGAAAACAGTGATAATGGTGACAACAGTGAGAACAGTCACAACGGTGACAACAGTGACATTAGTGACAACGGTGACAACAGTGGCAACAGTGAAAACGGTGACAACTGTGACAACAGTGACAACAGTGACAAAGGAGACAACGGTGACAACAGTGACATCAGTGACAAAGGTGACAACAGTGACACGAGTGACAATGGTGACAACAGTGACATCAGTGACAACAGTGACAACGGTGATAACAGTGACAACAGTGACAACATTGAAAACGGTGATGACAGTGACAACAGGGACAACAGTGACAACGGTAACAACACTGACAACGGTGACAATGCTGACAATGGTAACAAAAGTGACAATGGTGACAGTGGTAACAACAGTGACAACAGTGACAACAGTGGCAACAGTGACAATAGTGACAACATTGACAACAGTGACAATAGTGACAACAGTGACAACAGTGACAATAGTGCCAACAGTGGCAACAGTGACAACAGTGACAACAGTGACAACGGTGACAACAGTGAGAATGGTGACAACAGTGACAACAGTGACAACGGTGACAACAGTGAAACTGGTGACAACACTGGCAACGGTGACAACGGTGACAACTGTAACAACAGGGACAACAGTGAGAAAAGTGAAAAATGAGACAATGGTTACAACACTGACATCACCGACAACACCAACAACACTGATAATGGTGACAACAGTAACAACAGTAAACAAGAGTGACAAGAGTGACAACGGCGACAACAGTGACGACAGTGACAACAGCAAGAACGGTGACAACGGTGAAAACAGTGAAAAACGGTGACAACAGTGACCACCCCGACAACACTGAAAACACCGACAACGCTGACAATAGTGACAACTGTGAGAACAGTGACAACTGTGACAACAGTGAAAACAGTGACAATGGTGACAGCAATGACAACAGTTACAGCAGTGACAACAGCGACAATGGTGCTACAATGACAACACGACAACTGTTTAAGAGGGACAACAATGAAACTGGTGAAAAGAGTGAAAACGGTGACGACGATGCAACAATGACAACGGTGACAACAGTGACAACAGTGACAACAGGGAGAACAGTCACAACAGCGAAAACAGTGACAACGGTGACAACAGTGACAATGGTGACGATAGCGACAACATTGACAATGGTGACAACAGTGAAACTGGTGACAACACTGACAATGGTGACAACGGTGACAACTGTAACAACAGGGACAACAGTGACAATAGTGAAAACAGTGACAATGGTTACAACACTGACATCAAAAACAACACTGACAACACTGATAACGGTGACAACAGTAACAATAGTGACAACATCAAAACTGGTGACAACACTGTCAACGGTGACAACAGTGACAGCAGTGACAACAGTGACAACAGTGACAACAGTGACAACGTGACAACTGTGACCACGGTAAAAACGGTGTCAACAGTGACAACAGTGACAACTGCGACAACAGTGAGAGCGATGACAACGGTGACAATGGTGATAACCGTGACAACAGTAACAACGGTGAAAACAGTGACAACGGTAACAACAGTGACAACAGTAAAAACAGTGACAACAGTGACAATGGTGACGACAGTGACAACAGTGACAATGGTGACAACAGTGAAACTGGTGACAACACTGACAATGGTGACAACGGTGACAACTGTAACAACAGGGACAACAGTGACAACAGTGAAAAGAGTGACAATGGTTACAACACTGACATCAAAAACAACACTGACAACACTGATAACGGTGACAACAGTAACAACAGTGACAAGAGTGACAACATCAAAACTGGTGACAACACTGTCAACGGTGACAACAGTGACAGCAGTGACAACAGTGACAACAGTGACAACAGTGACAACGTGACAACTGTGACCACGGTGAAAACGGTGTCAACAGTGACAACAGTGACAACTGCGACAACAGTGACAGCGATGACAACGGTGAGAATGGTGATAACCGTGACAACAGTAACAACGGTGAGAACAGTGTCAACGCTGACAACAGTAACAATGGTGAGAACGGTGACAAGAGTGACATCAGTGACAACAGTGACCACAATGACAACAGAGACAACAGTGACAACAGTAACAATGGTGACAACGGTCATAACATTCACATCAGTGACAACGGTGACAACAGTGAAAACGGTGAGAACCATGACAACAGTGAGAACGGTGAAAACGGTCACAATATTGACATCAGTGACAACTGTGACAAAAGTGACAACGGTGACAACAGTGACAAAAGTTGAAAACTGTGGCAACAGTGACAACGGTGACAACAGTGTAGACGGTAAGAACACTGACAACAGTGACAACAGAGACAACAGTGACAACTGTGACAACTGTGAAAACGGTGTCAACAGTAACAACAGTGACAACTGTGACAACAGTGACAATGGTGACAACAGTGAAAACGGTAACAACCGTGAGACCAGTGACAATGGTGACAGTAGTATTAACGGTGACAACAGTGTCAACGGTGACAACAGTAACACCGGTGACACCAGTGGTAACAGTGACAACAGTGAGAACAGGAACAAGTGACAACATTGACAACAGTGACAACAGTGAGATCAGTGACAATGGTGACCACGGTGACAACGGTGACAACAGTGACCACAGTGACCACAGTGACCACAAAGACAACAGTGACAAAGGTGACAACGGTGACAACGGTGACAACGGTGATATCAGTGACAACACTGACAAAGGTGACAACAGTGACAACGGTAACAACACTGACAACAGTAAAAACAGTGACAACACTAACAGTGGTTACAACAGTGACAACAGTGGCTACAGTGACAATTGTGACAATGGTGACAACAGTGACAACAGTGACAACGGTGACAACAGTGACAACAGTGACAACTGGAATACAGTCACAACGGTGACAACTGGGACAACAGTGAGAACAGTCACAACACTGAAACCAGTGACAACAGTGACAACAGTGACAAAAGTGACGATAGTGACAATAGTAACAATGGTGACTAACGTAAAACTTGTAAAAACACCAACACAGTGACACGGTGACAACTGTGAAATCAGTGACAACGGTGACAACAGTGAAAACAGTGACAACGGTGAAAGCAGTGACAATGGTGATGACAGTGACAACAGTGACAATGGTGACAACAATAAAACTGGTGACAACACTGACAACGGTGACAACCTTGACAACTGTAACAACAGGGACAACAGTGACAACAGTGAAAACAGTGACAATGATTACAACACTGACATCACCGACAACACCGACGACACTGATAACGGTGACCACAGTAACAACAGTAACAAGGGTGAAAACATGAAAACTAGTGATGACACTGTCAACGGTGACAACGGTGACAACATTAACAACAGGGACAACAGTGACAAGAGTAAAATCAGTGACAATGGTTACAACACTGACATCACCGATAACAAAAACAACACTGACAAGGGTGACAACAGTAACAACAGTGACAACCGTGACAACAGTGACAACGGTGACAACAGTAGCAAAAGTGACAACACTGACAACGGTGACAAGGGTGAAAACAGTCAAAAATGGTGAAAACAGTGACAACCCGGACAACACTGAAAACACTGACAACGCTGACAATAGTGAAGACTCTGACAACAGTGACAACAGTGACAGCAGTGACAATGGTACTACAATCACAACTGCGACAACGTTCCAACAGTGGCAACGGTGACACCTGTAAAAAGAGTGAAAACGGTGACAATGATGCAACGGTGACAACGGTGACAACGGTTACAACGGTGACAACAGTAAAAACACCAACAACGGTGACAACAGCAACAATGGTAACAACAGAGACAACAGTGATGACAGTGACAACAGTGATAACAGTGACAGCAGTAAAAACACCGACAATGGCGATAATGGTGACAAAAATGACAACTGTGACAACGGTGACAACAGTGACAACAGTGACAATAGTGAAAACAGTGATAATGGTGACAACAATGACAACGGTGACAACGGTGACAACAGTGACATTACTGACAACGGTGACAACAGTGGCAACAGTGAAAACGGTGACAACTGTGACAGCAGTGACAACAGTGACAAAGGAGACAACGGTGACAACAGTGACATCAGTGACAAAGGTGACAACAGTGACACGAGTTACAATGGTGACAACAGTGACATCAGGGACAACAGTGACAATTGTGACAACAGTGACAACACTGACAACGGTGGTAACAGTGACAACAGTGACAACAGTGACAACAGTGACAATAGTGACAACAGTGGCAACAGTGACAACAGTGACAACAGTGAAAACGGTGACAACAGTGAGAATGGTGACGACAGTGACAACAGTGACAACGGTGACAACAGTGAAACTGGTGACAACACTGGCAACGGTGACAACAGTGAGAACTGTAACAACAGGGACAACAGTGAAAGTGGTGACAACAGTAACAACAGTGTCAACAGTGAAAGTGGTGACAACAGTGACAATAGTGAAAACAGTGACAACGGTGACAACACTGACAACGGTGACAACGGGAACAACTGTGACAAAAGTAACAACAGTGACAACAGTTACAACCGTCACAATGGTGACAACAGTGAAAACAGTGACAAAAGTTGTAACAGCGACAATAGTGACAACGGTGGCAACAGTGACAACAGTGACAACGGTGAAAAAGGTGACAATGGTTACAACACTGACATCACCGACAACACCGACAACACTGATAATGGTGACAACAGTAACAATAGTAGACAAGAGTGACAACAGTGACAACGGCAACAACAGTGACGACAATGACAACACCAACAACGGTGACAACGGTGAAAACAGTAAAGAACGGTGACAACAGTGACCACCCCGACAACAATGAAAACACTGACAACCCTGACAATAGTGACAACTGTGACAACAGTGACAACTGTGACAACAGTGACAACAGTGACAATGGTGACAACAATGACAACAGTTACAACGGTGACAACAGTGACAACATTGACAACAGTGACAACAGTGACACCAGTGACAATGGTGATAACACTGACAACTGTGAGAGCAGTGACAACAGCGACAATAGTGCTACAATGACAACACGACAACGGTTTAACAGTGACAACGGTGAAACTGGTGAAAAGAGTGAAAACGGTGACGACGATGCAACAATGACAAAAGTGACAACGGTGACAATGGTGACAACAGTGACAACAGTGACAACAGTGACAACAAGTACAAGAGTGACAATAGTGACAAAGGTGTCAACGGTTACAAAGGTGACAACGGTGACAACGGTGACAACGGTGACAACAGTAACAACAGTGACAACAGTGACAACAGTGAAAACGGTAAAAACGGTAAAAACGAGACAACAGTGTCAACGGTAACAACATTGACATCGGTGACAACAGTAACAACGGTGACAAAAGTGACTACATTGACAACGGTAAAAACAGTGACAACAGTAACAACAGTGACAACGGTGCTAATGATGACAACAGTGACAAAGAGGACAATGGTGACAACAGTGACAACGATGACAATGGTGACAACAGTGACAATAGTGACAACGGTGAAATTGGTGAAAACGGACACTATGGTGACAACAGTAACAACAGTGTCAACAGTGAAAGTGGTGACAACAGTGACAATAGTGAAAACAGTGACAACGGTGACAACACTGACAACGGTGACAACGGGAACAACTGTGACAAAAGTAACAACAGTGACAACAGTTACAACCGTGACAATGGTGACAACAGTGAAAACAGTGACAAAAGTTGTAACAGCGACAATAGTGACAACGGTGGCAACAGTGACAACAGTGACAACGGTAACAACACTGACAACGGTGACAACGGTGACAACGGTAACAACAGTGACAACAGTAGCAACAGTTACAACGGTGACAGTGGTGACAACAATTACAACAGTGACAACAGTGGCAACAGTGTGAATAGTGAGAACGGTGACAACAGTGACAACAGTAACTATGGTTATACTGTTGTCACTTTATTCACTGTTGTCACCGTTGTCACTGGTGTCACTGTTGCCACAGTTGTCACAGTTGTCACTGTTGCCACAGTTGTCACTGTTCTCACTGTTTACACCGTTGTCACCGTTGTCACCATTGTCAGCGTTATCACCTTTCTCACCATTGTTACTCTTTTCACCGTTGTCAATGTCATTACCGTTGTAACTGTTGTTACCGTTAGCACCGTTGTCACTGTTGTCACTGTTCTCACTGTTTTCACCGATGTCAATGTTGTCACCGTTGTTACTGTTGTCACCAATGTCAATGTTATTACCGTTGACACTGTTGTCTCTTTTTCACAGTTGTCACTGTTGTCACTGTCGTCAACAATGCCTTAGTTGTCACTGTTGTCACTGTTGTCACCGTTGTCACCATTGTCACCATGGTCACTGTTGTCACCATTGTAACCGTTGACACCTTTGTCACAATTGTCACTGACACCAAGACATCAGTGACAACTGTGACAACAGTGACAACGGTGACAACCGTGACAACAGTGACAACCATGAACACAGTGTCAACGGTGACAACAGTGACAACTCTGACAGCGGTGACAAAAGTGACAAGTGTGAAAACCGTAAAAACGGTGTCAACAGTGACAACAAAGACAACTGTGACAACAGTGACAACGGTGACAACGGTGACAACAGTGACAATTGTGACAACGGTGAAAACGGTGTCAACAGTGACAACAGTCACAACTATGACAACACTGGCAACGGTGACAACTTGACAACGGTGACAACGGTGAAAACAGTGTCAATGGTGACATCCGTGAGAACAGTAACAATGGGGACAATAGTGTCAACCCTGACAACGGTTACAACGGTGACAATGGTGACAATGGTGACAACATTGACATCAGTGACAACGGTGACAGAGGTGACAATAGTAACAAAAGTGACAACAGTGACAATGGTGACTACAGTGGCAACCGTGAGAACATTGATAAACGGTGAACATGGTGAAAACGGTGACAACGGTGACAACAGTGACAACAGTGACAACACTGACAACGGTGACAACAGTGACAACTGTGACAACTGTGACAACGGTGACAACGGTGACAACGTTGACAACTATGACAGCAGTGACAACAGTGACAACAGTGACAACAGTGATAACGGTAACAACACTGACAACAGTTACAAAAGCGACAACAGTGAAAGCAGTGACAATGGTACTACAATGACAACTGCGACAACGCTCCAACAGTGACAACAGTGACAACAGTGACAACAGCGACAACGGTGTTACAGTGACAATGGTTACAACAGTGAACGCAGTGTCAACAGTGACAACAGTGGCAAAAGTGACAATAGTGACAACGGTGACAACAGTGACAAGGGTGACAATGGTGACAATAGTGACAATGGTGAAATTGGTTAAAACGGAGACAATGGTGACAACGGGAACAACAGTGACAAGAGTAACAACACTGACAATGGTGACAGTGGTGACAACAGTGACAACAGTGATAGCAGTGACAACAGTGGCAACAGTGACAATAGTGACAAAGGTGTCAACCGTGACAATGGTGACTATGGTGACAACCGTGACAACGGTGAAAACGGTGACAACAGTAACAACAGTGACAAGGAAGGCACCGTTGACAACAGTGACAATGGTGACAACGGTGAAAAAAGAGACAACAGTGTCCTCAGTAACAACATTGACAACGGTGACAACAGTAACAACGGTGACAACGGTGACAACATTGACAAAAGTAAAAACAGAGACAACAGTGACAACGGTGCTAACGGTAACAACATTTACAGCGGTAATGCCAATGACAACGGTGAGAAGACTAACAATGGTGACAACGGTGACGACACTGCCAACAGTGACAATGGTGTCAACGGTCCAACAGTGACAATGGTGACAACAGTGACAACAGTGTCAAGAGTGACAACAGTGACAATAGTGACAACACTGACAACAGTGAAAACGGTGAAAACGGTGAAAACGGTAACAACGGTGACAACACTGACAACACTGACAACAGTGACTACAGTGACAACGGTGAGAACACTGACAACGGTGACAATGGTAACAACGGTAAAACAGTGCCAACAATGACAACTGTGACAAAAATAACAACAGTGACAACAGTGACAACAGTGACAACGGTGAAAACAGTGACAACAGTGACAACACCGACAATGGTGACAACAGTGACAATGGTGACAACAGTGAAAACGGTGACAACAGTGACAACATTGGCAACGGTGACAACTGTGAAAAACGGTGCCAACAGTGACAACCCCGACAACACTGAAAACACCGACAACGGTGAGAACGGTGACAATAGTGACAACTGTGCCAACATTGACAACGGTTAAAACAGTGACAACAGCGAAATCGGAGACAACAATGTCAACAGTGACAACGATGACAACAGTGACAACACTGGCAACGGTGACAACAATGACACAAGTGAACACAGTGACAAAAGTGACAATGGTGCTACGGTGAAAAAAGTAACAACGGTCGAACAGTGACAACGTGGACACCAGTGAAAAGAGTGACAATAGTGACAACGGTGAAATTGGTGAAAACAAAGTGAACGATGGCAACGGCGAAAACAGTGAAAACAGTGACAATAAAGACAACGGTGTCAACGGCGAAACCGGTGACAACAGTAACAACGGTGACAACAGTGACAACACTGAAAACGAAGGCAACGTTGACAACAGTGACAACGGTGAAAAAAGAGGTAGCAGTGACAACGGTAACAACATTGACAACGGTGACAACGGTGACGACGGTGACGACGGAGACAAGAGTAATAATGGTGACAACGGTGACAACAGATAACAGTCCAACAGTGACAATGGTGACAATGGTGACAACGGTGTCAACAGTGACAACAGTGAAACAGTGACAACACTGAAAACGGTGACAACGGTGAGAACGGTGACAACAGTGACAACGGTAGCACAATTGACAAAAGTGACAACAGTGACAACGGTAAATACACTAACAACGGTGACAACGGTGAGAAAGGTGAGAAGAGTGACAAAAGTGACAACAGTGACAACGGTCACAACACTGACAACAGTGACAACGGTGACAAAAGTGACAACGGTGACAACAGTGACAACAGTGACACAGGGGACTACCGTGACAACGGTGGCAATAGTGACAACGGTGACAATGTTGACAACAGTGACAAAAGTGACAACGGTGACAACAGTGACAACGGCGACAACACTGACAACAGTGGCACCGGTGACAACCATGAGAACTGTAACAACAAAAGTGGCAACAGTGAAAACAGTGACAACCGTGACAACAGCGACAACGGTGACAACAGTGACAACGGTGACAACACTGACAACGGTGACAACACTGACAACAGTGACAACGGTGACAACAGTGACAAAAGTGACAACAGTGACAACAGTGACAACAGTGACAACTGGACAACAGTGACAACGGTGACAATGGTGACAACAGTGACAACAGTGACAACAGTGAGAACGGTTGCAACAGTGACAACAGTGAAAACGGTGACAACAATGACAACTGTGACAAAAGTGACAACGGTGACAATGGTGACAATAGTGACAACAGTGACAACAGTGACAACAAGTGCAAGAGTGAGAATAGTGACAAAGGTGTCAATGGTTACAATGGTGACAACGGTGACAATTGTAACAACAGTGACAACAGTGACAACGGTGACAACGGTGAAAACGAGACAACAGTGTCAACGGTAACAACATTGACGTTGGTGACAACAGTAACAACGGTGAGAACAGTGAAAACATTGACAACGGTAAAAACAGTGACAACAGTAACAACAGTGACAACGGTGCTAATGGTAACAACAGTTACAATGGTAATGACATTGACAACGGTGAGAAGAGTAACAATGGTGACAACGGTTATGACGCTGACAACGTTGACTATGGTGACAACAGAGACAATGGTGTCAACAGTGACAACAGTGAGAACTGTGACAACATTGACAACGGTGACAATAGTGACAACAGTGACAACAGTAACAACTGTGAAAACGGTGACGACAGTGACAACTGTGACAACAGTGACAACAGTGACAATAGTGACAACACTGACAATGGTGACAAAAGTGACAACGGTGTCAACAGCGACAACGGCGAATACAGTGACGACAGTGAGAACACCAACAACGGTGACAACGGTAAAAACAGTGAAAAACGGTGACAACACTGACCACCCTGACAACACTGAAAACACTGACAACGCTGACAACAGTGACAACTGTGACAACAGTGAAAACTTTTAAAACAGTGACAACGGTGAAAATGGTGACAACAATGACAACGGTGACAACGGTAACAACAGTGACAACAGTGACAACAGTGACATCAGTGACACCAGTGACAATGGTGATAACAATGACAACAGTGACAACAGCGACAATGGTGCTACAATGACAACACAACAACGGTCCAACAATGACAACGGTGAAAGCGGCGAAGAGAGGGAAACGGTGACAACGATGCAACAATGACAACGGTGAAAACGGTTACAAAGGTGACAACAGGGACAACAGTGATAACGGTGACAACAGTGACAACGGTGACAACATTGACATCAGTGACAATGGTAACAACAGTGAAAACGGTGACAACCGTGACAACAGTGAGAACGGTGACTATAGTGACAATATTGACATCAGTGACAACTGTGACAACAGTGACAACGGTGACAACGGTGACAACAGTGACAAAGTTGAAAACCGTGGCAACAGTGACAACGGTGACAGCAGTGTAGACGGTGACAACACTGACAACAGTGACAACAGAGACAACAGTGACAACTGTGACACCGGTGAAAAAGGTGTCAACAGTAACAACAGTGACAACTGTGACAACAGTGACAACGGTGACAACAGTGAAAACGGTAACAACCGTGAGACCAGTGACAACGATGACAGTAGTGTAAACGGTGACAATGGTGTCAACGGTGACAACAGTAACACCGGTGACACCAGTGGGAACAGTGACAACAGTGACGAAAGGAAAAAGCGACAACATTGACAACATTGACAACAGTAAGATCAGTGACAATGGTGACCACGGTGACAACGGTGACCACGGTGACCACGGTGACCACAGTGACAACAGTGACAAAGGTGACAACGGTGACAACATCGACAACGGTTACGACAGTGAGAACGGTGACAACGGTGACATTAGTGACAACACTGACATAGGTGAAAACGGTAACAACACTAACAAAAGTAACAACAGTGACAGTGGTGACAACAGTGACAACAGAGACAACAGTGGCAACAGTGACAATTGTGACAACGGTGACAACAGTGACAAGAGTGACAACAGTGACAACAGTGACAACTGGACAACAGTGACAACGGTGACAATGGTGACAACAGTGACAACAGTGACAACAGTTAGAACAGTTGCAACAGTGACAATAGTGACAACGGTGACAACAGTTAAAACGGTGGCAACAGTGACAACTGTGACAAAAGTGGCAACGGTGACAATGGTGACAACAGTGACAACAGTGACAACAGTGACAACAAGTGCAAGAGTGACAATAGTGACAAAGATGTCAACGGTTACAATGGTGACAACGGTGACAATGGTAACAACAGTGACAATGGTAATGACATTGACAACGGTGAGAAGAGTAACAAAGGTGACAACGGTGACGACGCTGACAACGTTGACAATGGTAACAACGGTGACAACGGTGTCAACAGTGGCAACAGTGATAACTGTTACAACAGTGAAAACAGTAATAACGGGGACAACGGTGACAACCGTGACAATAGTGACAACTGTGACAACAGTGACAACGGTGACAATAGTGACAACAGTGACAAGAGTAACAACAGTAAAAACGGTGACGACAGTGACAACTGTGACAACAGTGACAACAGTGACAATAGTGACAACACTGCCAACAGTGACAAAAGTGACAACGGTGTCAACAGTGAGAACGGCGACAACAGTGACAACAGTGAAAACAGCAACAAAGGTGACAACGGTAAAAACAGTGAAAAACGGTGACAACAGTGGCCACCCCGACAACACTGAAGACACTGACAATGCTGACAATAGTGACAACTGTGACAACAGTGAAAATGGTGACAACAATGACAACAGTGAAAACGGTGACAACAGTGGGAAAAGTCACAACAGTGAAACCAGTGACAACAGTGAAAACAGTGACAAAGGTGACGATAGTGACAATAGTGACAATGGTGACAAACGTGAAACTGGTGAAAACACCGACACAGTTACACGGTGACAACGGTGAAATCAGTGACAACGGTCACAACAGTGAAAACAGTGACAAGGGTGACAGCAGTGACAATGGTGACGACAGTGACAACAGTGACAATGGTGACAACAGTAAAACTGGTGACAACACTGACAACGGTGATAACAGTGACAACAGTGACAGCGGTAAGAATGGTAACAACAGTGACATTTGTGACAACGGTGACAACGGTGACAACGGTGACAACAGTGAGAACAGTCGCATCAGTGAGAACAGTGACAACAGTGACAACAGTGACAATGGTGACGATAGTGACAATAGTGACAATGGTGATAACAGTGAAACTGGTGAAAACACCGACACAGTGACACGGTGACAACAATGAAATCAGTGACAACGGTGACAACAGTGACAACAGTGACAATGGTGACAGCAATGACAATGGTGACAACAGTGACAACAGTGACAATGGTGATAACAGTGAAACTGGTGACAACGTTGACAACTGTAACAACAGGGACAACAATGACAACAGTTAAAACAGTGACAATGGTTACAACACTGACATCACCGACAACACGACGACACTGATAACAGTGACAATGGTAACAACAGTGAAAACGGTGACAACCGTGACAACAGTGAGAACGGTGACTATAGTGACAATATTGACATCAGTGACAACTGTGACAACAGTGACACCGGTGACAACGGTGACAACAGTGACAAAGGTGAAAACCGTGACAACAGTGACAACGGTGACAGCAGTGTAGACGGTGACAACACTGACAACAGTGACAACAGAGACAACAGTGACAACTGTGACACTGGTGAAAAAGGTGTCAACAGTAACAACAGTGACAACTGTGACAACAGTGACAACGGTGACAACAGTGAAAACGGTAACAACCGTGAGACCAGTGCCAACGATGACAGTAGTGTAAACGGTGACAACGATGTCAACGGTGACAACAGTGACACCGGTGACACCAGTGGGAACAGTGACAACAGTGACAAAAGCAAAAAGCGACAACATTGACAACATTGACAACAGTAAGATCAGTGACAATGGTGACCACGGTGACAACGGTGACCACGGTGACCACGGTGACAACAGTGACAATAGTGACAACACTGCCAACAGTGACAAAAGTGACAACGGTGTCAACAGTGAGAACGGCAACAACAGTGACAACAGTGAAAACAGCAACAAAGGTGACAACGGTAAAAACAGTGAAAAACGGTGACAACAGTGGCCACCCCGACAACACTGAAGACACTGACAATGCTGACAATAGTGACAACTGTGACAACAGTGACAACTGTAAAAACAGTGACAACAGTGAAAATGGTGACAACAATGACAACAGTGAAACCAGTGACAACAGTGAAAACAGTGACAAAGGTGACGATAGTGACAATAGTGACAATGGTGACAAACGTGAAACTGGTGAAAACACCGACACAGTTACACGGTGACAACGGTGAAATCAGTGACAACGGTCAAAACAGTGAAAACAGTGACAAGGGTGACAGCAGTGACAAAGGTGACGACAGTGACAACAGTGACAATGGTGACAACAGTGAAACTGGTGATAACACTGACAACGGTGATAACGGTGACAACAGTGACAGCGGTGAGAACGGTAACAACAGTGACATTTGTGACAACGGTGACAACAGTGACAACGGTGAAAACGGTGACAACGATGACAACAGTGAGAATAGTCACATCAGTGACAACAGTGACAACAGTGACAACAGTGACAATGGTGACGATAGTGACAATAGTGACAATGGTGATAACAGTGAAACTGGTGAAAACACCGACACAGTGACAAGGTGACAACGGTGAAATCAGTGACAACGGTGACAACAGTGAAAACAGTGACAACGGTGAGAGCAATGACAATGGTGACGACAGTGACAACAGTGACAATGGTGACAACAGTGAAACTGGTGACAACACTGACTACGGTGACAACGTTGACAAGGTGACAACGTTGACAACTGTAACAACAGGGACAACAGTGACAACAGTGAAAACAGTGACAATGGTTACAACACTGACATCACCGACAACACCGACGACACTGATAACGGTGACAACAGTAACAACAGTGACAAGAGTGACAACATGAAAACTTGTGACGACACTGTCAACGGTGACAACGGTGACAACGGTTACAACATTAACAACAGGGACAACAGTGACAATAGTAAAAACAGTGACAATGGTTACAACACTGACATCACCGATAACACAAACAACACTGACAACGGTGACAACAGTGACAACCTTGACAAAAGTGACAACGGTGACAACAGTGACAAAAGTGACAACACTGACAACACTGAAAACACTGACCACGCTGACAATAGTGAAGACAGTGACAACAGTGACAACAGTGACAATGGTGAAAAGAATGACAACAGTGAAGACGGTGACAACAGTGGGAATGCTGACAACAGTGACACCAGTGACAATGGTCTCAACAGTGACAACAGTGACAGCAGTGACAATGGTACTACAATCACAACTGCGACAACGCTCCAACAGTGGCAATGGTGACACCGGTGAAAAGAGTGAAAACTGTGACAATGATGCAACGGTGACAACGATCACAACGGTCACAACAGTGACAATGGTGAGAACAGTGACAACAGTAAAAACACCAACAACGGTGACAACAGCAACAACGGTAACATCAGAGACAACAGTGACGACAGTGACAATGGTGATAACAGTGACAGCAGTAAAAACACCGACAATGGCGATAATGGTGACAAAGGTGACAACTGTGACAACAATGACAACTGTGACAATAGTGAAAACAGTGATAATGGTGACAACAGTGACAACGGTGACAACGGTGACAACAGTGACATTAGTGACAACGGTGACAACAGTGCCAACAGTGAAAACGGTGACAACTGTGACAACAGTGACAACAGTGACAAAGGAGACAACGGTGACAACAGTGACATCAGTGACAAAGGTGACAACAGTGACACAAGTGACAATGGTGACAACAGTGACATCAGTGACAACAGTGACAATTGTGACAACAGTGACAACACTGACAACGGTGATAACAGTGACAAGAGTGACAACAGTGACAACGGTGACAACACTGAAAAAGGTGACAATGCTGACAATGGTAACAAAAGTGACAATGGTGACAGTGGTAACAACATTGACAACAGTGACAACAGTGACAATAGTGACAACATTGACAACAGTGACAATAGTGACAACGGTGACAACAGTGAGAATGGTAATGACAGTGACAACAGTGACAACGGTGACAACAGTGAAACTGGTGACAACACTAGCAACGGTGACAGCGGTGACAACTGTAACAACAGGGACAACAGTGACAACGGTGAAAAATGCGACAATGATTACAACACTGACATCACCGACAACACCGACAACACTGATAATGGTGACAACAGTAACAACAGTAGACAAGACTCACAACAGTGACAATGGCGACAGTAGTGATGACAGTGACAACACCAACAACGGTGACAACGGTGAAAACAGTGAAAAACAGTGACAACAGTGACCACCCGACAACAATGAAAACACTGACAACGCTGACAATAGTGACAACTGTGACAACAGTGACAACTGTGACAACAGTGACAACAGTGACAATGGTGAGAACAATGACAACAGTTACAACGGTGACAACAGTGACAACATTGACAACGGTGACAACAGTGACACCAGTGACAATGGTGATAACACTGACAACAGTGACAGCAGTGACAACAGCGACAATGCTGCTACAATNAGTGACAACAGTGACAATGGTGAGAACAATGACAACAGTTACAACGGTGACAACAGTGACAACATTGACAACGGTGACAACAGTGACACCAGTGACAATGGTGATAACACTGACAACAGTGACAGCAGTGACAACAGCGACAATGCTGCTACAATGACAACACGACAACGGTTTAACAGTGAGAACGGTGAAACTGGTGAAAAGAGTGAAAACGGTGACGACAATGCAACAATGACAACGGTGACAACGGTGACAACGGTGACAACGGTGACAACAGTGACCACAGTGATAACAGTGACAACAGTGACAATGGTGGAAACAGTGACAGCGGTGACAACGATGACAACAGTGACATTTGTAACAACGGTGACAACAGTGACAACAGTGACAAACAGTGACAACACTCACAACAATGAAAACAGTGACAACGGTGTCAACAGTGACAATGGTGACGATAGTGAGAACAGTGACAATGGTGACAGCAGTGAAACTGGTGACAACACCGACACAATGACACGTTGACAACGGTGAAAACAGTGAAAACGGTAACAACAGTGACAACAGTGACAACAGTGACAACAGTGACAATGGTGACGACAGTGACAACAGTGACAATGGTGACAACAGTGAAACTGGTGACAACACTGACAACGGTAATAACGGTGACAACTGTGAAAACAGTTACAACAGTGACAACAGTAACAACAGTTAAAACGGTGACAACAGTGAAAATGGTGATGACAATAACAACAGTGACAACGGTGACAACAGTGAAATTGGTAACAACACTGACAACGGTGACAACGGTGACAACTGTAACAACAGGGACAACAGTGACAACAGTGAAAACAGTGACAATGGTTACAACACTGACATCACCAACAACACTGACAACACTGATAACGGTGACAACAGTAACAACAGTGACAAGAGTGACAACATGAAAACTGGTGACAACACTGTTAATGGTGACAACGGTGACAACAGTGACAACAGTGACAACAGTGACAACGTGACAACTGTGACAACGGTGAAAACGGTGTCAACGGTGACAACAGTGACAACTGTGACAACAGTGACAGTGATGACAACGGTGACAATGGTGACGACCGTGACAACAGTAACAACGGTGAGAACAGTGTCAACGCTGACAACAGTAACAACGGTGAGAACGGTGACAAGAGTGACATCAGTGACAAAAGTGACAACAATGACAACAGTGACAACAGTGACAACAGTAACAACGGTGACAACAGTCACAACATTGACATCAGTGACAATGGTGGCACCATAGAAAACGGTGACAACCATGACAACAGTGAGAACGGTGACAACGGTGACAATATTGACATCAGTGACAACTGTGACATCAGTGACAACGGTAACAACAGTGACAAACGTGAAAAGCGTGACAACAGTGACAAAGGTGACAACGGTGTAGACGGTGACAACACTGACAACAGTGACAACAGAGACAACAGTGACAACTGTGACAACGGTGAAAACGGTGTTAACAGGAACAACAGCAACAACTGTGACAACAGTGACAACGGTAACAACAGTGAAAACGGTAACAACCGTGAGACCAGTGACAACGGTGACAGTAGTATTAACGGTGACAACGGTGTCAACGGTGACAAGAGTAACACCGGTGACAACAGTGGAAACAGTGACAACAGTGACAACAGGAACAAGGGACAACAGTGACAACAGTGAGATCAGTGACAATGTTGACCACGGTGACAACGGTGACAACGGTGACCACGGTGACAACGGTGACCACGGTGACAACAGTGACAAAAGTGACAACGGTGACAACAATGACAACGGTGACAACGGTGACAACGCAGACATCAGTGACAACACTGACAAAGGTGACAACGGCGACGACGAAAACAACACTGACAACAGTAACAACAGTGACAACAGTGACGGTGGTGACAAGAGTGACAACAGAGACAACAGTGGCTACAGTGACAATTGTGACACCGGTAACAACAGTGACAAGAGTAACAACAGTGACAACAGTGACAACTGGACAACAGTGACAACGGTGAAAATGGTGACAACAGTGACAACAGTGAGAACAGTTCCAACGGTGACAATAGTGAAAACAGTGACGACAGTGACAACTGTGACAATGGTAACAACAGTGACAACAGTGACAACGGTGACAACGGTGAAAACGTTGAAAACGAGACAACAGTGGCAACGGTAACAACATTGACATCGGTGACAACAGTGACAACGGTGACAACGGTGACAACATTGACAACGGTAAAAACAGTGACAACAGTAACAACAGTGACAATGGTGCTAATGGTAACAACAGTTACAATGGTAATGACATTGACAACGGTGAGGAGAGTAACAATGGTGACAACGGCGATGATGCTGACAACGTTGACAATGGTGACAACGGAGACAATGGCGTCAACAGTGACAACAGTGAGAACTGTGACAACAGTGAAAACGGTGACAACGGTGACAACGGTGCCAACAGTGACAACAATGATAACTGTTACAACAGTAAAAAACGGTAATGACGGTGACAACGGTGACAACCGAGACAACAGTGAACACTGCGACAACAGTGAGAATGGTGACATTTGTGACAACAGTGACAACAGTAACAACAGTGACAACGGTGTCCACAGTAACAACAGTGACAACTGTGACAACAGTAAAAACGGTGACAGCGGTGACAACAGTTAAAACGGTGTCAACAGTGACAAGAGTGACAACTGTCACAACAGTGAAAACAGTGACAACGGTGAAAATGGTGACTATGGTAACAACCATGACAACAGTGACAACGGTGGCAAAGGTGACAACAGTGACATCAGTGACAACTGTGACAACAGTGACAACAGTGACAACCGTGATAACCGTGACAACAGTGATATTGGTGGCAACGGTGTCTACAGTGACAACAGTGAGAAAGGCGACAACTGTGACAACGGTGACAACGGTGAAAAACCGTGAGAAAAGTGATAACAGTGACAACGTTGTCAATGCTGACAACAGTGTCACCGCTGTCACCATTGTTACTTTTCTCACCGTTGTCAATGTCATTACCGTTGCAACTGTTGTTAACGTTAGCACCGTTGACACTATTGACACTGTTGTCACTGATGTCACTGTTGTGACTGTTGTCACAGTTGTCACTGTTGTCACTGTAGTCACTGTTCTCACTATTGTCACTGTTGTTACCATTGTCACCATTGTCACCGTTGTCAGTGTTCTCACTGTTGTCACTGTTGTCACTGTTGTGACTTTTGTCACTGTTGTCACTGTTGCCACCGTTGTCACTATTGTCGCTGTTGCATCTGTTGTCACTGTTCTCACCATTGTCACAGTTGCAACTGTTGTCACTGTTGTTACTGTTTTTACCGTTGTCACCTGTTTCACCATTGTCAGTGTTGTCACCATTGTCACAGTTGTCACTGTTGTCACTATTGTCCCTGTTGTCACCACTGTCACCGTTGTCACTGTTGTTACTGTTGTCACTGTTCTTACCGTTGTCACCATTGCCTCAGTTTTCACCAATTAAACCGTTGTCACTTTTGTCACAGTTTTCACTGTTGTCACCGTTGTCATTATTGTCACTTTTGAAACTGTTGTCACTGTTGTCACTGTTGTCACCGTTGCACTATTGTCACTGTTGCCACTGTTGTCTCCGTTGTCACTGTTCTCACTACTGTCACCGTTGTCACTGTTGTTGCTGTTGTCACTGTTGTTACCATTGTCACCATTGTGTTCGTTGTCAGTGTTGCCACTAATGTCACTGTCGTCACCGTTGTCACCGTTGTCACTGTTGTCATTTTTGTCACATTTGTCACTGTTGTCACCGTGGTCATTGTGGTCACTGTTGTCATCGTTGTCACTGTTTTCACCGTGGTCACCGTTGTTGCTGTTGTCACTGTTGTCACTGTTGCCACCGTTTTTAAAATTGTCACTGTTGTCACCGTTAACACCGTTGTCACCGTTGTCACTGTTGTCAAGGTTGTCGCCGTTGTCACCGTTGTCACCGTTCACACCGTTTTCACCTTTGTCACCATTGTCACTGTTTTCTCTCCTGTCACCTTTGTCACTGTTTTCACCGTTGACACCGTTGTCACAGTTGTCACTGTTGTTACTGTTGTTATCGTTGTCGCCATTATCAGTGTTGTCACCGTTCTTACTGTTGTTACTGTACTCAGTGTTGGTAGCGTTGTCACTGTTGTCACCGATGTCACTGTTGTCACCGTTGTCACAGTTGTCACTATGGTCACTGTTGTCGCCGTTCTCACTGTTGTCACTGATGTCGCTGATGTCAGGGTTGTCACCGTTGTCACCGTTGTCATCGTTGTCAGTGTTGTCGGTGTTGTCAATGTTCTCACCGTTTTTACTCTTGTGACTGTCCTCACTGTTGTCACCGTTGTCACCATTGTCAGTGTTGTCAGCGTTGTCACTGTTGTCACTGCGTGTTGTCACAGTTGTCACAGTTTTCACCGTTGTCACCGTTTTCAATGTTGTGGGTATTGTCAATGTTGTCATCGTTGTCACAGTTGTCACTGTTGTCATTGTTGTTACCATTGTCACTGTTGTCAGTGTTGTCACCGTTGTCACTGTTGTCGCTGTTGTCACTCTTGTCACTGTTGTCACCGTTGTCACTGTTGTCATTGTTGTCCCAGTTGTCACTGTTGTTAATGTTTTCAATGTTGGCACTGTTGTCACACTGACAACGGTTACAATGGTGAAAATGGTAACAAGAGTGACAACAGTGACAACGGTGAAAAAACTGACAACACCGAAAACACCGAAAACACTGACAACGGTGACACTGGTGACAACATTGACAACATTAACAACAGTGACAACTGGGACAACAAAGACAACAGTGAAAACGGTGACAACAGTGACAACCGTGACAACAGTGACAACAGTGGCAATTGTGACAACAGTGACAACCGCGACAACAGTGACAACAGTGACAACGGTGACAACACTAACAACAATGACAACAGTGACAAAGGTGACAACAGTGACAACAGTGACAACGGTGCCAACACTGACAACAGTGACAACGGTGACAATGGTGAAAAAAGTGACAACACTGACAACAGTGACAACCTTGACAACAGTTATAACGGTGACAACGGTGACAACCTTGACAACAGTTACAACGCTGACATCAGTGACTTCTGTGACAACAGTGACAACGGCGACAACAGTGACAACAGTGACAGCAGTGACAACGGTGAGAACAGTGACAATGCTAACAACAGTGAGAACAGTAACAACAGTGACTACGGTGATAACACTGAGAACAGTGACAACTGTGACAACGGTAACAACAGTGACAACAGGGACAACACTAACAACAGTCACAACTGTGACAACGGTGTCAACAGTGACAACAGTGACAACGGTGACAACAGAAACAATAGTGACAATGGTGACAACGGTATAAAAGGTGTCAACAGTGAGAATAGGGACAACCGTGACAACAGTGACCACGGTAAACACAATGTCAACAATGACAATGGTGACAACAGTGACAACAGTAACCACGGTGACAACAGTGACACCAGTGACAACGGTGACAACAGTGACAACAGTTACAACAGTGACAACAGCGACAACGGTGCTACAGTGACAATAATGAGAATGGTGAAAACCGTGTCAACAATGACAACAGTGACAACAGTGACAACGGTGACAACGCTGACAACGGTTACAACCGTGAGAACAGCGACAAGGGTGACAATAGTGAATTCAGTGACAACAGTGTCAAAAGTGACAACGGTGACAACACAGACAACAGTGACAACGGTGACAACAGTAAAAACAGTGTCAAAAGTGACAACAGTGACAACTGTGAACACAGTGACAACGGTGACAACGGTAACAACCGTGAGAACCGTGACAACAGTGACAACGGTGACAACAATGCAACGGTGACAACAGTGACACCGGTGACAACAGAGAGAAAAGTGAAAACGATGACAAAGGTGAAAACGGTGTTAACAGTGACAACATTGACAACTGTGAACACAGTGACAACGGCGACAGCATTGACAACGGTGACAACCGTGAAAAAAGGCACAACGGTGACAATGGTGTCAACGGTGACAATGGTGTCAACGGTGACAACAGTGTCAACGGTGACAACAGTGACTATGGTGACAACAGTGCCAAGAGTGACAACAGTGACAAGAGACAACAGTGACATCATTGACATCAATGACAACAGTGACCACGTTGACAACAGTGACATCGGTGAGAAGGGTGACCACGGTGACCACAGTGACAACGGTGACATCAGTGACAACACTGAGAACGTCGACAACGGTGACAACGGTAACAACAGTGACAACAGTAAAAACAGTGTGAACGGTGACAGTGGTGACAACAGAGAGAACAGTGGCAACAGTGACAATAGTGACAACGGTGACAACACTGACAACAGTGAGAACAGTGAAAACAGTGACAACAGTGACAACTGTGACAACAGTGACAAAGGTGACAATAGTGACAACAGTGACAACTGTGACAACTGTGACAACAGTGACAACGGTGACAATGGTGACAACAGTGACACCAGTGACAACAGTGACAAAAGGTGAACCAATCACAATAGTGAAAACGGTGACAACAGTGAAAACAGTGACTACTGTGACAACAGTGACAATGGTGACAATGGTAACAACAGTGACAATAGTGACAACGGTAAAATTGGTGAAAACGGACACTATAGTGACAACAGTAACAACAGTGTCAACGGTGAAAGTAATGACAACAGTGACAATAGTCAAAACAGTGACAACGGTGACAACACTGACAACGGTGACAACGGTAACAACTGTGACAACAGTAACAACAGTGACAACAGTTGCCACCGTGACAATGGTGACAACAGTAACAACAGTGACAAAAGTTGTAACAGTAACAATAGTGACAACGGTTGCAATAGTGACAACAGTGACAGCAGTGACAACAGTGACAACAGTGACAACGGCAACAACACTGACAACGGTGACAACGGTGACAACGGTAACAACAGTGACAACAGTAGCAACAGTGACAACGGTGACAGTGGTGACAACAATTACAACAGTGACAACAGTGGCAACAGCGTGAATAGTGAGAACGGTGACAACAGTGACAACAGTGACAATGGTGATACTGTTGTCACTTTATTCACTGTTGTAACCGTTGTCACTGGTGTCACTGTTGCCAGAGTTACCACTGTTGTCACTGTTGTCACAGTTTTCACTGTTGCCACAGTTGACACTGTTGTCACCGTTGTCACCATTGTCACCGTTTTCACCGTTTTCACTGTTGTGACAGTTGTCACTGTTCTCACTGTTGACACCGTTGTCACCGTTGTCAGCGTCATCACCTTTGTCACCATTGTTACTCTTTTCACCGTTGTCAATGTCATTACCGTTGTAACTGTTGTTACCGTTAGCACCGTTGTCACTGTTGTCACTGTTCTCACTGTTTTTACCGTTGTCAATGTTGTCACCGTTGTTACTGTTGTCACCAATGTCAATGTTGTTACCGTTGACAGTGTTGTCTCTTTTTCACCGTTGTCACCGTTGTCATTGTCGCCAACAGTGCCTTTGTTTTCACAGTTGTCACTGTCGTCACCGTTGTCACCGTTGTTACCGTGGTCACTGTTGTCACCATTGTAACCGTTGACACCTTTGTCACAATTGTCACTGACACCAAGACATCAGTGACAACTGTGACAACAGTGACAACGGCTACAACAGTTGCAACGGTGACAACCGTGACAACAGTGACAACCGTGACAACAGTGTCAACGGTGACAACAGTGACAACGGTGACAACGGTGACTACAGTGACAACTGTGACAACTGTAAAAATGGTGTCAACAGTGACAACAGTGACAACTGTGACAACAGTGACAACGGTGACAACGGTGACAACAGTGACAACTGTGACAACGGTGAAAACGGTGTCAACAGTGACAACAGTCACAACTATGACAACACTGGCAACAGTGACAACTGTGACAACGGTGACAACGTGACAACGGTGAAAACGATGTCAACAGTGACAACAGTGACAACTGTGACAACAGTGACAACAGTGACAATGGTGACAACCGTGAGAACAGTAACAACGGGGACAACAGTGTCAACGCTGACAACGGTGACAACGGCGAGAACGGTGACAAGAGTGACAAGAGTGACAAAAGTGACAACGGTTACAACGGTGACAACGGTGACAACATTGACATCAGTGATAACGGTGACAGAGGTGACAACAGCGACAACGGTGACAACAGTGGCAACCGTGACAACAGTGACAATGGTGACAATAGTGACAACGGTGAACATGGTGAAACCGGTGACAACGGTGACAACAGTGACAACAGTGACAACAGTGACAACACTGACAACGGTGACAACAGTAACAACTGTGACAATGGTGACCATGGTGACAACGGTGACAACGTTGACAACTATTACAGAAGTGACAACACTGACAAGAGTGACATCAGTGACAACAGTGATAACGGTAACAACACTGAGAACGGTTACGATGGTGACAACAGTGACAGCAGTGATAATGGTTGTACAATGACAACTGCGACAACGCTCCATCAGTGACAACAGTGACAACAGTGACAACATCGACAACGGTGCTACAGTGACAATGGTTACAACAGTGAAAAAAGTGTCAACAGTGACATTAGTGACAACAGTGACAACAATGTCAACAGTGACAAGAGTGGCAACAGTGACAATAGTGACAACGGTGACAACAGTAACAAAAGTGACCACAGTGAAAACAGTGACAACAGTGACAACAGTGACAACTGTGACAACAGTGAGAACGGTGACAATGGTGACAACAGTGGCAACAGTGACAACAGTGGCAACAGTGACAATAGTGACAACGGTGACAACAGTGACAACAGTGACAATAGTGACAATGGTGACAACAGTGAGAATAATGACAACAGTGACAACAGTGACAACGGTGAAAACAGTGAAACTGGTGACAACACTGGCAACGGTGACAACGGTGACAACTGTAACAACAGGGACAACAGTGACAACGGTGAAAAATGTGACAATGGTTACAACACTGACAACAACAACAGTGACGAGAGTGACAACATGAAAACTGGTGACAACACTGTCAACGGTGACAACGGTGACAACAGTGACAACAGGGACAACGTGACAACTGTGACAACGGTGGAAACGGTGTCAACAGTGACAACAGTGACAACTGTGACAACAGTGACAGCGATGACAACGGTGACAATGGTGACAACCTTGACAACAGTAACAACGGTGAGAACAGTGTCAATGCTGACAACAGTAACAACAGTGAGAACGGTGACAAGAGTGACATTAGTGACAACAGTGACAACAATGACAACAGTGACAACAGTGACAACAGTAACAGCGGTGACAACGGTCACAACATTGACATCAGTGACAACGGTGACA